CAGTTCTATTTTGTTTGATAATAATAGAGGCCTGTTGTGGTAACCCATACCTTTCCATAGCATCTATTATTTCACTGCACATTCAATGGGAATTATCATTATATTGCTGCTTATTCAGATTCTATACCCTTTTTTACTTATAGTCACTCACTCAAGCCATATCTCATTTCTTACTGGATCACTAGTTATTGGCAATCTTAGTTTTACAGATATTATTCTTTACATTTACATTACACATTAGCTACATACATCACATATTTACAGATTGCTACATACATCCTATATTTCCCAAGTACTATCTTTTACATATATCTCTTCTCACTACATGCACTCAGCTACACTCCTTTACAGTATTTCTGTTCACATTACATTATATTACATATAGTTTCTCAGACACACTCTTTACAATTATGCTTTCTCATATGCTGCATAGGATAACAGTAGTACACTCTTTCATAGTCTTCATCTTTTGGGATTGTTTTCCTTTACTCATCCTCTTTTTTGATTGGAGGACTTCCCGTTGCCATTTAGAGTGCTTTTTAAGCCCTCCCAAGTCCTAAATTAACACCCCACTTGTAATTTCAACCATTTCACATGAGACTGATTCCTACAAGGCTTGTAAAAAATATTTTTTTGGGCCAAAAATTAAGATCTAGGGGGTGTAAATTGGATTCTGGAAGGGTTCTAGATTGCGATGGGAAGTCATCCATTGTTTACTTTTCACATTTCTTGTGCTACATATGTACATGTTGTTCCCATAGCCAGAATTACTGTACCCTGTAATCATTTTACCCTATATTATATGTACAGTCTTCTTATCACTTGTACACCCCTTATGAATTTTCTACCCTACAGATATTATTGTGCCCCTCAGATAAAATCTATCTTGATTTCAGAACTCATATCAGTAACCTTGCCCTGTTTGTTGCTTTGCCCCCAGAAATATCATTACACAAAGTGTCCTTAGAGCTCGGCTTTATTTACAACCCTCATATTCTCACTTCTTCCCCTGTGGGACTGAAAAGGAACAAACTCATTAGTAATAATAGCCCAAGAATCAGTTAGAAATTGGCCATACCTCTTTCTTATTTCTTAGTGTAACCCTCTGCCCTCAGCATTAGTCTTAGAGGGCAGCCTCATCAGCACTCGTAGCCTCAACTTAAATTACCAGTAGTGTAGTTGTCTATTTCCCCTCCAAGCTCTGTTTATGATATTCAGAAGTTTCAAACTGTCCTTGTTTACTCCTCTCTATCTTGCAAGTCTGTTGTTTAAAGGTTTCTGAATCTAAATGGATCTTCTTGTACCAATTCAATCATTATCCCTGACATGATTTCCCAGATGGGAAATCTTGTAAATTTTAGGGAAATCCATGTCAAAAAATTAAAGATTTTTCCAGATTTTTAGGGTTTTCTAATTTTTTTAGATTTTTCCAGATTGTATAGATTTTTTATGATTTTTTATATTTTTCTAAATTTTTCAGATTTTTCCAGATTTTTTTGCAAGAGACATCTATAAAGTTGAGAAAAATTAACAAGTCCAAACAATCTGAAAAAATCTAAATAAAGATCTAAAAAATCTGGAAAAATTAGAAAAGTCTTAAAAAATTGGAAAAATCTAAAAAATCTGAAAAAATCCCAAAAATCTGGAAAAATCTAAAAAATCTAGAAAAACCTAAAAAGTCTGCAAAAATCTGAAAAAATCGTGAAAATCTAAAAAATTCAGAAAAAAAAATAAAAAAGATCTGGAAAAATCTTTAATTCTTTACACGATTTCCCTAATACCCCCCCCCTCCCCCCAATCACTGGAGGAACAGGAGCTAGGGAGAAAATTGCTGCAAGTATCTGCCAAACTCAAAACAATCTTGACAGAACAGGGGGCTCATCAAGTGGGGAATGGGAGAAATCCACACTCAATGATTCCATTCCATTATGGAACAACTGTACCAGATGTGTGGACATATGTACTTTTCACCTTCAAAAACTTACCTTTCATAATTTCCTGCCAATCTGTTATCTCACTCAAGAAGTCCATCTGCGTAGTGGATTATGAAATCAAAAATGCTGTACCAAATAATTATGCAAGAATTTGATTTTAAAATGAAACACATTCCATCATGTGATGGGAGTTATGAAAATCAAATGATAAAATCTATTTCCACAAAATTGAAAAAAGTGGTGATCTGAGTTGCAAGATTTAAAGGAATGCTATTGAATCTATGATTCACATTCAAAAGAAAAGAAATGTTGATATTACTTGAATCAGCCTGACTACTTGACATTTCAGCCTGTTTGAATTTTGGATCAGCTTTGTATCATGATGCACTTCTGATTTCAAAATCAGAAACCAAATCTTTTCAAACCTGATCCTGCTGATTTACCAACAAAATTTTCAATGTTTTAGGTCAGCTTCTATTTGGAGGCAAGATCAAACAATCACACTTTACTGGTAAACATGCAAAATAAGAAAAACTTATCAAAAATCAGATTTTTTTTGGCTAGGATATATGAAGTGTCCTATTGCTGATTTACTTGCCTTCACATACTGTGAGTGTACAAAATTTAGAACTGTTGTCAAAGTTCCAATGCTTATAAAAAATAAGTCTACTAGGAACTTATAGAAAACAGCAACCAGTTCATGTTGGAGATCATTGCAGATTGTTCCTGTTCTGCTGAATCAAATTGCTATCAAAAGAGAGGTGGGTTTGAGACATAATAGGGCCAAGGGGAAAAGAGAAAAGTATGGGCACAAATTATTTCACAGATCAAATATTAACAAAGAAATTCAAGGGAAAGCAGTTTATTACAACAGCACATGGAATAACATGAGCAATCCCTGTGTTATTTTGGAACATTCTCTAGTGTGAAAATCTGGTTTCTCTAAACTATACCAAGACACACTTCATTTTAAATACTATTATTGTGTTTTCATGAATGGTTTGAGCCTCCAACATTTTTGTCTTCAATGTTTGTCCAATGATTATGCACTTCACTGCATATACACTTTGAATTGGGGCTGACCAAAAAGGAATCAGACCAGATCTGAGCTACATGTGACCCAGTAGTCAAGCCCCAAAGTTGATGCAATCTTCATGGTCAAGATTGGATTTGCCACATGTTACAGACCAAAAAATTAGTCAATGTTATCAATGTTGATGATCTTTCCTGGAATTTGCAGTGAATCAGTTCAAGATGAGGTCATCCAAATAACTTGATCTTGAGATTGAACAAGCAAATGATCAAGATTTTCAAGGTTGATTGTCAAAAACTGGGAAATCCAAAAACAAATATGTAAAGTTTATCACATCTAAATTGATATTTTGAGGAGCAAAAGAATTTTGAAAAGATCAGAGGCTCCAACCATTCATGAAAACACAATACATAGATTTCAAAGTTGGATTAAAAAATGCAAGGAGTCTTGATTATTTTATATCTTTTTCTGTTTCCTTTGTTTTCCAAGCAGATGAAACAGGATCCACGGGTTCTAGGAAAAAGAATGCTGTGTGAACCATCATTGCCAAAAATTGAATTGACCCACTCCAATGTCCAGTTTTGTGATAAGATTTTATCAAACTAGATACTGTCTGTTCTGTGCTCACATTCTCATGAGAATCCTGAGCAAAATATCTTATCAATTGTTTTTGATTGGGTTTGAGTACATCATTTCCAAATGAATGCGGAGAAAGTCTTATGATTGGAAAACTGTTGGAAGGTGAAAAGATCTCTCTGTCCAACCAACACATTATTTTTTTTTGCTTGCGTTTGTAGTTTTCCATCAAGACTTCTGATGCCTTGTGTGTTTTTTAGGTAATGATGTTGCCAAATTCTTGTAAAGAAATTTCCAATTCTTGTTGGTATGTCTAAAGTCTGCATCCAAAGCTTGTAGAACCTCTGATGACCAAACCAGTTCACCTGACTCATAAGTGACCACACCAAATGATAAGTCTTGGTAGCTACTGAATTTTTTGTTAGGATTGGTCTTTTTCAAACCAAGTTTGTGGCAAAGTTCTCACAATGTGCTTCCACAAGCCCATGATCAATTTCTGCTTGCATGGGGTACATGTGATTGAGCCAGTTGTTCCAAGTGTCCAATGAGCTTGGCAGACAAGGAATTGACTGGAGTTGACTAAGCATGATGACTATCATCCGTCATTTTCATTGGATCAATTTTTATATCATAGTTGTTAGCATGATCAATTTTTCATCTCTTTTGATAGTTAGCATTGCCCGGCCCTTGTGCACGCCAAGTTTGACCTGAGCAATGGTGCAACAGAGACAATACAAGACGGTATCAGGCATTTATTTGTATTGTCTCAGAATTTGAACACCCAAAAATACCTGATTTGTGTTGTCTCACTTTCCTGAGACAATACACACGTATTGTCTTTGGAAAGTGAGACAAGTATTCTGTATTGTCTCAAATGACTGATCCCCCCAAAAATGTATCTGATACACAAGATATTTGGCCATATTGAAGAAAAAAAAAGATGATTTTTTTCATTTGTAAATCCAAATCCAAGACAATGGATTTTCTCACCAACCAAAAAAATACTGATACCGGTATCAGACTCAAAATAAAGACAATATGACCCAATACAAATACATGTCTTGTATCTGTTGCACCATTGACCTGAGGCAAGAACATGTTGATTTAGTGCTCTATTTGTATGACAAAGAAGTAAAAAAATCACTTGCTAGAAATGATAGCTTCTGGAGGCTGGGAAGCAGAAGTTTCACTACCAAGTGTGCAGGAGCCGGAAAGATCCTCTTCAGTGTGTTTGTGGTTCCTGGAGGATGTTACATACTTCAGTCTTGCCTGAAATCGGAAAAACGGCCGGCGGCCCTGTGAGAGGCGTATGGATTGGGAAATGACGTCCTTGACTTAAACCCTCTTCCACACATTCATTCAGTTTGGAGGAGCCCATTGCAAAAGCTATGGGAAAGCAACAGAAGATCAAAAGGAGAAATCAATGCCGCGGAAGCTTCATAAGTAAGGTCATCAAGATGAGAAAGGGAGGCCGGGCCCGAGGCTCTCCTGAAAGTAAACCGAGATTGCTTTTTGAAATCTTGGCGAGGTAAGTTGAGACATAATTCTCTTAGCTGGCAATGTGCAAGGTGAAAGCAAACCAATACATGAATCATACTATACATCTGCAACAGACGCGTGCAAAACTCATAAATACTCAGACTAGGGCCGATCCTCCGCGACTCAAAACATTTTGGAAAAGGACAACAATGTTCCCCTGAAGTCTTAAAACGTGCTCTTAGAAAATCGCTTGACGCGTCGAGGCATGTCGAGGGTGATGCAAGCCTTTTGGATACTTTAAGTTTAACCAAGAGCCCTGAGGAGCCAGGCCGCACTGGATTGCACAGCATACAGTTAACGATATTAGTCTCGGCAAGCCTTATCAGCCTGTGGAAAAGAAGAAGCCATCGACCGACCATCACCCACCTTTACCCACATAGTAATCCGGTTCGACCGATACAAACAACACTACCGGGATGAATTGGCCGCACCGGCCGGTCCACTCTCCGGACAGTAGACTGTGCCCGACCAGTATTGCACCCCGCTTGATTAATCATCCCATTGGGGACAGGGAGTGCAAAGCATCCCCTAGCTTCTGCCATTTCCAATGGGAAGCTTAGAATTTAAGTAATGTTCGCGGAATGGCCTGGGGTCGTTTGAAATTTGACCATTTTCTAAAGCAATCCAGACGTAAACACACATTAAAACCCTCAACTACACAAAGAATCAAACAGATCGTGCAAGGAGAAAGGCTGGAACCTAGAGTAGATAGCAAGAACAAAAAGGACACATTCACACGATACTTCTGTAAAGATATAGCGCAATGCACACACCATTTTTTTACTTTTGGATTTTTGTAACTTGTAAGTGCTAAAAAAAGGTGAATCTTTGAAGATACACCACTTCTCTCAGTGGTATTGTAAATCAGGCATACCACAAGCCATATATGAAATTCCAAGACTCTTTGAGTTCGTCTTTTGAATGGCTGGATTTTTGCTCCTCGAGGTATTTGGGTGGGTGCATAGTTTCCACTTGGGCTGAGAAATTGGCACAACAAAACGAGTTTCAAGTGAGTCATTTCTACTCCTGATGTTGATAACTAAATGAGACTAAATTCACTTACGAATTTTTGGACGACTTTTGTATGATTCTATGAGTGGATTTGCTGTCTGTTCAATAAATTCCTCGTCCGTTGGATGCCAGAGTGCCTCCGAAAAATAGCGTATCAGGTGTAGTTGATTAGGCTTGAGTAGAAATTGATCTGTTGGGCCCGATTCAAATGAGTATCGAGACAGTCCTATAACGGGTAAACTGTCGTAAGGCGCATAGATCTCTTTGTCGAGCCAACTCAATAATCTTCTTTGCTCCGTTTGGTACTCATAATCATTGAATACTTCTATGTTGAAGTCTTCGGCATGTTTCTCGGACAATGCAATTATCAATTTTTTGTACATAGATTGGAATTCATCTTTGAGTAGTATGTCGTGGTTTTTGTGGTATAGCACCAGTGAGGCTCTACCCGGTTGGGCATCACTTATAGTGGCTAGTCCGAATGGCAAGTCTTTGTGTTTAATGCTGACCCGAGAGAAACCCTGTTGTTTCAATTCGTAATATTCACCTGCATTTTTCGAATATTGTTCGATAATACTCCGATCGATTCCTATGCAGGTTTGGGGAGGTAATTAAGCCAGTTTAACAGTGCAATGAATCGAGTCAAGTAGACTAACTGTAATGCAAATCAATGTCAAGCTGTGGTTTTTCCTTGGAAAAATATTCAAAGTAATCTATTGCCTTCATTCTCGAGCTTCCCACATCGTCTTGCTCATGTCCACTGTTGGTTGAGCCTGCGTTGATTAATGTTATGAATAAAAGATTTGGTGATTCACTTCTAGTCTACGAAAAGGGAGTGAAACTCCACTTACTCGAGCTCATGGAATCCCGAGACGGCGATGCAGGAGAACTAACGGTAGAAAGTTCGGCGTCAGAGAAATGCCCATTGGCAAATCGATGCTTGCTTGTTGGTGTCCATTGCATGTCGTCATCCCATGTATGTTCAGCTTGAGATGCGCCTACGGTGATCATGTTTATGAGTAAGAACAATACAAAAAATCAGCACTGCGCCTCGTTTGAGAAGCCATCCGAGATTCACTCACCACTGGGACTTGGAGTGTCCCGATCATATGAGACTTGACTACGGCCTCCGACAGATAGATCATAGTTTGGATGATATGGGTACCGATCGGTAAATTTGGGGATTATGATGGGGGAAGACGATCGTGACATCGAGTGACCTGCTTCCCTTGGACTGGCTGCTTCGCTCGAGCTAGTTGAGCTCCATGAGGCCTTGCGTGGAATTGAGATAGGGGCTGACCGCCCTGATGCCCCGAGGGGAAACCAATCATGCATCACAAAATCATCTTCACTTGAGCTACTTGAGTCCGATGAGTATTCTTCAGGCCATCTCATCCTGGATGGTTTGATTGCGAAAGCGATTGTAAAAGAACAAAAAATGAACCAGAGAATCCGGTGCGGAGAGATGACAAGGAGCATCATTTCGAAGGTAAATAGAGGTAGGTGTTGATCACCAGCAAAGATAAATATTCACCTGACATTGAGTGACACGGTCTTCTGGTTATGAATGTGCAGCAATTCAGCTTCATTTGCCGACCGGAAACGCTTCGCTTGGCCGGGGCGGTTAATCGCTGTATGGACATCAAACAGAATGTTTCTATAAATGTATGTATGTGGATTGACTAGAACACAGGCTTGCAAGTTGCAAGGGCTTTCTCCTGAAGCCGAAGCTCAAACAGAAGCAAGGCCCAAGGGGTTTCCAGGCTTGTTAGGACTTGAGTCTAGTTGAGAGCACTTGAGACGTAGCCACAACAAGTTTTGTATCGTTTGCCTAACCTGATGATCATCCCGCATCTAATTTCTACAGTTCAGACCATTGCAGTTCTTTGGATACTTATTACTATTGTGCCCAGATTCCTGCAGCACCTCCCTGGCACACTGGTCACGTCTCCAACAACTGTCTCAACCGATTCAAATTTTCACTATGCCCAAGAACACCTCTCCCAATCAATCTAACATGAGCCACCTTTCACCAACTCCTTCCCCCAAACCTCACATCTATGTCCTGAAAACTCTTCCACACTCTGATGATCTGATCTTCTTGACATGCCCTTGAATACCATCTAGAGCCACGTCCTTAAAGAGGCAACCTACCAGACAAATGCTACCAAACACTAATCAATGTGGCAGAATTTATTTGCTTTGCAACATCATGTCTCTCGGAACAGTATTTGCTGGAGCTTTAAGAGCACTTCAATCAACTATCTCAATCCAAGGCTGGTCTGGATTTTACTTTGCAACATGACAATGCTGCAATACTTGAATGCATCTTGGCAGATCTTCAAGAACTCAATGATGGAGCCAGTGGCAATAATAAGAACCAAGGTACACACCAACAAGATACTTGGACCCATAAAGCAAGAATTGATGATGAAATTGCTCTCATGCAAATGCACAATTGACAGACCAACTAAACCATGTGGACCAAGGACATGTGAACCTTCTTAAAAAACAAGGAACTGTGGAAGGTGGTCAATTGAGAACCAGGTGTGAACCCAGCCCCTCACATCAAGAAAGCCTTATCCGCCTCTGGTCATTACATCACAATGAAAATTGGTGATAGAGTCTATAATGGACTTTTCACTGAATCAAATAAAGAGAACTTCTTCCTACTGACCTGTAGAACAGAGTATCTGAAACCTATGCAAAGTACATGACCCACGGGTATCAACAATGTGGCAATTCCTGGTACATATTTTGGTATGATGGAAGGGTGATTTATTTTTTCATGAGTGTTGAATATTGCCTTGATGCTTTCACCACTATTGCACATCCAATTCCAAGAAAAGATATTTGTAGAGATTTCATTCCCAAGATCACCCATACAAGCCAAATTCTCACCAATTAATTAATAGGAAACCACAATCTTACGGAGAATCATACCCCTCTCATCAATTGTCTAAAAATAATTGCTGAGGAAGAGTATGTTCCAACCAGAAGAAACATCCTGGACAGAACTGTTATGGCCTGCATCAACAGCTCACAAACCAGACCTGGACCTGGGTGCCAGAATGGAATCCACAATCCAGAAGCAAATCATTCTGAAGATTGCTTTTGTGCAGCCCATCCCAAAACTCAACCATTTTGTAATCCCTGGTATTTTCCTTCTCAACTTCACACTTCTGTGCAGCAAGGACACATTCCACCAGCTCCTGTTGAACCTTCCACTCCCAATGCATCCACTTCACAATTTTAGATTCCTCATTTTGCTCACATCACAACTGTCATGCTCCTCACATTTTCTCCTCAATTCTTGTCCACTGTTCTTGACTCAGGAGCCTTTCATTGCATCTTCAAGAACATTAGATTCTTTGAAGAGATCTGGCTGTGCAATATTCTAATCAATATTGGAAAGGACTTCAGTGAACTATTGGAAACCAAAGAATGGGCTCAACTGGAAAGACCATCCGCTTGGAAGGTGTTGAGGGTGTAATTAGCAACTCAAGATGTCAAAGTTGATGGTTATGTGCGATCTGTCTACACATGTGAATGAAAGTTTTTGATTTCAAATTCAAGTGGTGATATCTTGCTCATGTTTTGTTTGTTTTCTTTTTCTTTCTGTCTACTCAACATTGTCAAGAATTCAAGACTTGGAACTGTTAAGATCAAGATTGAAAGAAATCATCAAGACCAGAATCACTCAGCTACACCAATTCAGGAGGAGGAAAAAACATTCAAATTAATGAGCTTAATTTTTTTTTTAAAATCTCATTGCACTGTTTAGTTGGTTGTTTAGTTGTCATTGACAAATTTCATCTACTACTACTGGCTGCCTGGATTGATTGATTTGCAATAAATAGAAATCATTGTGAAATCACAGAAGGATCACTTCTTGTTCCCAAACTCACAGGTAATTTTATCCCTCTTTGAAAGCTGTCCAAACACTCAATCTCAATCACCAAGACCAATGTTGCAAGCACTGTGGTAATACACAATGCCATATGATTCAAATGCCATCAAAAAATTGGCATCCTTGAGTTTCAAATACAAATCAGACCACTTATCTCTTCCCCCAAAACTCTGCTCCTGACTAGGACCTACTCAGCACCCACCACACCTTATAAAACCTGGCATTCTTGACTAGGTCACTCTGGAATAGACAGAATCAAGATAGATGTTGACAACAAAAATTGAACATCCACCACTAGCTGTGATGTGTGCATGAAGGGGAAAAGTCTCCAGGGTGTCTTTCAACAGTCACTTCAATCAAACTTTACAGGTCCTTGAAATGATGCATGGAGATCTGGTTGGACTCATAACAAACCCAACCAACTTGGGATCAAGATAATATCTGACTCTTGTGGACCAATGTGAGAATTCTGAATGAATTACTGAGAATTGAAACCAGACTGAAACAAATAACAACATGAGTTTAAGATTGAAAGAGAAACAGAGAGGAAATGAAGAGATAGAAATTTACCCCAACAGAACAAAGATGAATGTTATGAACAACTGAGAAAGAGAGAGATTGAGAATAGATGAGGACACAGGACTAAAGGAGTAGGAAGCTCTGGTTAGTGATGAATGTTGATTGATGAGTTGAGTGACGTGAGGTATTTCTCACCAAATTGAATCAGACTGATGTGATCCAATGTATGAGAAGATCGACAATGTCAATTAGAGAAGAAGTAGTTGATGGGAAGATCGAAGAGTCAATGAGTGAGGGAGTTGTTGAGTTTTGAGGGAGAGCTTGACAGAGTTGACTGAAGTGTTGATGTTGAGGTTTTTTGAGGAAAGATAGAGAGTGAGGTTGAGGTTGATTGGCCGGAAGAAAATGAAGAGTGGGAAAAAAATGTGAGAGAAAGAGACCAATCACGGATCAAGAAAGAAAAGGAGAGACGGAGCAGAAGTGTTGGAAGGAAGAGGAGATAGGGTTAGGTTTTAGGAATGAGATTAGGTTTGAGGTGATGATATTTAAGGTTGGCTACTGAGTTGGCTGCTTGCTGAGGAAAACTGTAGCAAAGGGATCACAGAAGTTTCAACAACCAACACACGGGATACATCAGTGTAACTCTACTCAAGCAGAAATTCAATGTAACAATGGCCATACTGTATTTCAAGGTCTTCCTTGAAAAAGAAACCAGTCATCCAATCAGAAATTTATTCACCAATGGAGGAGGGGAATTCTGCAATGGCTCACTTTTGGACACTCTCAAAAACTCAGGAATTCAACACATCTTCTCACCACCATACACCCCCCCCCAACACAATGGAATAGCCAAACAAGCCAGCAAAACCATAAAAATTATGGCTTATTGCATGATGCTTGAGTCCAACCTCTCAAAGGAGTGGTGGGGTGAGGCAGTACTGACAGCAATGGCTACCACCACTTGTTCTACAACACTTTCTTCTCATCCTTTATCTTATTGTCTTTCACTCTAAATACCTCATTTTCTCCTGATAGTTTCTATTATTCTGCTGTCTACCTCTGCCCTTAGGGTGCAAGTTGTCCTGAGTCTCTATTTTTCTCATTTCTCATGATGTTCTCGCCATGAGACTAATATTGAAATTTCATCCTTAAGTTTTTCATGATTGTTCCATGAACAATATACCTTTCTCTGATATATTCAAACTGAACAAAAGTATTTTGTAAAAACCCATGATAGAAGTAAGATTGTTTGCACTCCCCAAAACAATAAGCTTTTGTTTTCATGTATTATTTAAGCTGGAAGATCACCCATCCTACTCATGAGCAATTGTCTTACTGAAAATGGTCTGAGTAGATATTAAGCACTTTGGAGAAAACCCCAGGAAGTCAAATTTGAGAACATTCAGAATTGATACAGTCTTGGTATGACTCCAAAGCTGCACATTTTTTTTATTTTTTGAATCAAGATGTTAATTATAATTTGTTATGCAATTTATCATTCAATATTTTCATTGATTGAAAAAATAGTCTGAATCCTTTGCATAATACATGTGAAAACCTACTTATTCAAATTCAGAACAAACTGCCTCAAGTACTAGAATGAAGCTTACATATTTTCCATATATTGCTGCTTCAGAATGTCACTGGTGAAACTTCAAAGATTTTGATTGGTATTTGCTCAGCTGAAGTGATAGGGGTGGGCTCATATTCCAAAAGTCAGAAACAAATTAATCATCTATATTATTCATATGGTTGTAACCAACAGGCTTGAATAATTCAAGGCTGTTGGTTCAAACACATAGAAATTTATCCTGGTCAGTTGGCAAAAGGTGGATAATAGAATGAGCAATTCAAAGCATATATTAGACCTTTGAAAACACCCCTGTTTCTGTCAAACTATTGATATGGCCTGCAAATGCAGTTGTAGTATTAGGAGAGTTTTAGGAATATATATAATCAAGTTGGAGCTGGTTCTAAGTTGACTCCATCTCCTTTCCAACATTACTTCAGTGGACTTGAGCAATTGGAGGATTTCCTGTTGTGATTTAGGTTGCTTTTCAGACCTCTCTCAGTCCTGAATTAACACCACAATTAAGATTTCAACCAGCTCAAATGAGAGCTATTAAGGGGGTTCACGTACTGCTGATTTCGAAATCAGCAGTCGAACTTTGCTGGAATGGTAGTTTTAAGTTTTATGGGAAACCAAGATAGTTTAGTGCAAGGTCCCCCTGTGGATTCAAAATCCCAAATTTAAAGTTCATCAGGTTTGTGCATCAGCAAGCAAACCTTAAGCTGCATCAGCAGAGGTTTGGCTGGAACGTGAACTGCCCTATTTCTGGAAAGATTCAGAAAAAATATATCTAAGAGGTGTAAATTGACTTCTGGGAGGGTTGTAGATTGTGCTGGGCAGTCATCCATTACTTCAGCGGACTTGAGCCAAGGAGACATCTCATGGGCTTCCAGAACAATACTACATCATGGCACTTACATGCAAGTACCAAGCAAACTCCCATGGTGAATCACCCTTCCCCTCAAACTGATCATTTTTTTGTATTACGTTGTGAGCCTATTCTATAAACTTAGGCGGCAAAACATCAGCAGCTATGCATTTTCACATACTAAATCATTACAGACCCTCTGGTTGGTCAACTGGAAAATATACTAGACAAAGAAAGATACCTAATCCTGGGGCATGCTTAGGCCAAAAGACAGAGAGAAAACATAAAATCAACATATTTCATAAATCAAGTATTACCAGAATCATTAAACGAGCATGGTTTATTTTGTTATATAGTTGATCACTGCTGTATTTATTTATAATATAACCCATATCCACGTACGGGATCTTCAATGAGTTTCACCCAGCTTTCATGGTTTTTCTCTGAAGAATAGTAATCAGGAAGTTTCATTGTTTCCGGCGGCTCTAAGAGATAGAAATACGGATAAAAAACATGAGGTTTAGATTAAAACAAACGCTGGTTGATGTGATTTAAACTTAGTTTACTAACCCTTCAGCGGCCTGTGTTTGTAGGATTTAAGGAGTTCAGATACTGTCGGTTCGGTGTTTATTTTTTTTGCATCCTGAGAAAAGTAGTTTATCAATTTTTCTTGATTAGGCTGTAGTAGGGCTTCATCGATTCCTTCTGATCCAAATGAGTATCGAGAGAGTCCTAGAATCGGAAGACTGTTATAAGGCGCAAAGATCTCTTTGTCCAGCCACCTCAATAGTCCCTCTTGCTCCGATATGTAAATGTCTTTCTTGAAGAGCTCCATCTTGTAATCTTCGGAATGTTTCTCGGATATTGAAGTTACCAATGTTTCGTACAGCGATTTCCAAGCCCAATCTGTCTGTTTGAGATTGGAACCAGCTTGTAAGACCTCTGATTGCCTACCCGGTCGGCCATCGTCGTGATAAACCAGCCTGAATGGTAGCTTTTTGTGAAAAATGAATCTTTTTGAGTAATCAGGTTTTTTTAATTCGAGCAACTGGCTGAATCCCCGGATGTGTTTTTCCACGATATTTTTATCGATTGCTGTTGAGAGTCGAGAGAGAGAAATAGGTAAGTTGAATGATTCAGGTGCGTGTTGTACAATATAGACAAGTGAACTTACGGTGATGATAATCATGCCTGAGAGTGAGGGGGCGCTTTTCTTTGGCAAATTTTTCAAAGTAATCTATTCTTCTTTCTTTCCACTCATGATCACTCTCGTCTGAGCCTGGTTTGGTCACTTGAATGAATCAATAGGGCAATTATATATATGCACATGTACGGAAAGGCCACACTCACTTGAAACCATAGCATCGTGAAAATGCGGTGCAGAAGCTTGACTGTCTGATGAATCAGAGTCGGAAAGGTAGTCCTCAGCAAATTTGCGCTTCCTTGATGACGGCCCTTCGATCATGTCATCTAAAGAATGTTCACTCTGAGTTGAACCTATGGTGATCGTGTCAGTGAATCAATTTTTTGGGCGTTGTTTCTCTGATATGTGAGTAGGCATCAAATTTCACTCACTGCTGGGCCTTGATTCTTGCCTAAGAAAGGGTTCAACACTGTGGCGGTGGATGAGATCAGAGTTTGGAAGATGGTCTTGAGGATGAGCGAGTTCCGTTGAGGAGGGTTCTTCAGGGAAAAGCTTCAGGGTCGGAAGGAGAGGTGCTTCACTCGAGTCCTCTTCCAAAACCACATTTAATCTGGAGGGGTTCACGGCAATAGCAATTGTGAAGTAGCAACAGATGTACCAGAGACATTGATAACGCGGAAGCATAACAAGCATAACCATACTGGAGGTGAGTCGAAGAGTTGGCCAGAGGTTATCTGGGGAATCAACAAGAAATGTAGCCGGAAAATTCGACCAGCCAACGAACCGCCGCGACGGTCAAGTTACATACAAAGAATGGGAGGAAGGCAAACTAAGGCAAACCAAAAAATGTGCCATACTGATGGCAGCCCAACAGCGATCGAAACAGTGCTTCGTGATGACCGGGGCTGTGATTTAATTAGAATGCAGCCTGAGGTCTGCAAACGTGTTCCGGAATCATAAGTGTTGCAGCTTCACAAGGGGGGCGAGCTTCCTGAGCTTGGGGACCCCTCCAACTCCAAGACGCTCCATGAAGTTGAAGTGTACATAATATTGAATGTTTTTGGTGTGTTCAGAGAAAAGATTACTATGATGTGAGATGATGTGGACGACCGGACGTGATGACCTGATGCCGAAGCACAATGTATGTGGCTATGGTCGGGCTTTAAAAGCCTGTGGGTCTGAGCCCGGCCCGACGGGTCCCATGGGCCCAACATCCTTTCCTGCCAAACCCAGCACTCCAGCCCAGCAGCCGGACAACAACCAGCAACAACCACTGACTCCCATCACCATCACCTCCCGAGCACTCTCACTCCGCCGTCTAGTGCTAGCCACATTCGAAACAGATACCTCAAGCCCAACCTATCATCGTCCTCGTCAGACGCCAACCCGGTCTTACCAATGAGCTCACATGGAGAAGTTTGTACGTATCTCTTTTGCATCATCATTTCTCAATCCACTACCTCCCACGGACCACCTCAAGCTCTCGGTGTCTGTGCTCGATGCTCATTCAATCTCAAGCATCAAGAAAGAATAAAGTAGCAGAGATCTTCATTTCAAGAAATCCCCCTTCCCACCTTTCCAGCAACATTTCTATCATCTTTTGTCTCACTTCTCGGCTCACATTAATAACTATCACTGATTCATACTTGCCTTTGAATCATCACCGTCGCTTCCTTTTACCCATCAAAAATCAAACCATGCTTTCGCTGCGATTTTCTTGTGCCCCACGTTCAGCCTGGGAAACCTTGCGACGCCAAAGTAAGTTAACCTATCCATCCAATTAGTACTGGTTTTCCTTGTCCATCCTGAGAATTAACAACCGGATTCCCCTCTGTCAATAGTCCGGAGTCTCGAAAATACATTGGAATCAGAAATCACCACCTATGCTAAACTATGCACCTCCGTCTCAACTGCGTACAGCTCGAATGGGAAACTTAGCGAGCGGACGATTACAGAATCTAGAGAGGTGGAAGAACGGATCGAAGATAACCTGAAACAAGTGTGTCACTCCCCCTGTGCAAAACAAAGAAACACGACGACCACCTAAATTGAGATGATCCTAACCATCAGGTCCATGATATTGTAGCTCTCTTTACAAGTAGATCAAATATACAGACTGCTCCAAACCAGCTCAGCTGCTCCTACAGGATCGATGACCCACGCCTGCAACCGACACAAAGAAGTGCTTCAGGAGTACGAGCGAGACTTCAAACGAACACGGACCTCGTTGCGTGAATGTGAACAGCGGGCCTCGTTACTCTCTTCAGTCCGCTCCGAAATCTCATCCTTCAAGTCCTCCCAGATCGCATCCGAGCAAGACCGTCATCTCAACGATAGGAGCTCGATCAACTCTAGCCATCGTTTGGCTGACGACGTCCTCGGGCAAGCTTATGAGACTAGGTACCAATTCTCTAACCAACGTCGGACTCTTTTCAATAGCAATTCTCGAATGGGTAGCGTCATTGGTCAGTACTTACCTCCACTTTTTTATTTCACTCTCATTGTTGTTATGAAATATTGATTTTACTCAACTTGCCACCTCCCTGCTAAAATAATCACAGCAACCGTGCCCGGTGTCAACTCTTTGATCAGCATGATCAATTCACGAAGAAGAAGGGACACCTTAATCCTTGCCACCGTTGCAGGGGGATGCACATTCATGCTCCTCCTTCTCACTTTTCGTTAATCCACCTTCTATTTGCTGTTTCTTCTCTTCCTCGTCTCATCTCCATTGTATACTGTATATGTACATCGCATCCTTTGTTCTTTCTATATCCTATTGTCCTTTCTTCTTCTTCTTTGTCTCTCCTTCGTTTGATCGTGGTTCGCAATAATAGAGTAACGCAAGGGTTTACTTCTTTTTTGTCTTTGAATGAGTGAAAAGATTGTTGTACTGGATCGTCCATTCTTCATCCACCTCTGCCTTTTTCAACTCTATTACCATTGGTATTGTCAACACAAGATGAGGAAATGGGAAGGCACTGCTCAGACAATGTGTCTGACTCAAAATGAATATACTCTTGTGATTTTTACTCCGAAATAATTTGTGGACACAGTGCTTTTCAAATATTTGTGTTGGAAAATAACACCTAGCTGAGTAGTTTCAATCAGTCACACTTGATAGTAGATTGGCAAGAGAAACAAGACAAAAAGAGGGGAAAAAAGAGAAAGAAAAAAAACAGACAAGGGCATGGGTGTGTATCTTGTTTAAACTTGGTTGGAACAGAGAGGTTCACCAAAGAAATCTTTGTAAGCAAGACGGGAGCAAATTGTTCTACTTTTGAGAAAATTTTGGTTAAATCTATTCATGTGACAAATACTCTGCAAAACATCAACTGGAAGAATTTCTACTACTAACTGGTTTGACCCACAAATCAAATCTGGTATGAATTTTGAACCCCGGCTTGTGACAAATCAAAGGGAACTTTGGATCGATTTCCTCTTTCCATGGGAGATTCTTATATTCCCTAATCATCCGGAATCTGTCCTGATCATCATGTGACCTAGGAGTACGGAAGAGTCTGGAGCTTCTGCTGATCAGAAATTGGAAAAACCATGGATCTCTTTTGAAAAAATGAATATACTTTCTATGGTTTTGATTCTTGTAATAATACCCTAGTAGATTTGCTACAATCTGACCTAAAATCAAGTCATCTTGTTTTAAGATTGATTCATGATTCATAGTGTGTGTGGATTGAACTGTAAATCTATCTTCATTTGTATCCAAAGTAAAAATATCCACCATCAAGTTTACGATTTTTGCATTAATCATACTTTCAGATGCTGTTAGTTGTTCACATTCTTCTCCAGGAATTCTTGACTCTTTATGTTTGAGGTCAGAAAAACAAGATAAAAAGAACTTTTGGACTGATTTTTGCTCGTTGATGTAATCTTCTCCCAGGAATTCACACCCAAGGAACTCAATCACATGTTCATTCAATCCCCAAAGAATATCAAATGCTTGGTCAAACTTTTCAAATATCTGTTTCTCAGATGTATTCTGAAGTGTCACTTTTTTTCTAAATTAAGATTCATTTCAGAAATTTTTATAAGATGATTTTTCACTTCATGTATTATTGTATTGGATATGGGTTGAAATAATTTCTCAAAGCGGTATGATTTATTTAACTTGACTCTTGATATCCATGCCCATTTTTCTTCAGAGACATTTTCTGAGTCAAAATCCCTCATGATCTCAAATTCATGCATCTCTGATAAACTCTTTTCATCAAATATTAGTCTCACATGATTTTCAAACTGGAACTGTTCAAGATTAACAAGTGTTGGAATTGAATTGAACAATTCCAAGGGTGAAAAAGCCTTGAATGAGATGAGAAACTGATTTTTCTCCCTTAAATCACCACTCATCATGCCTTGAAATTTGTTTTCTTTGACTGTATTCCAAAAAATTTCAAGTTGAAACATGACATTCTCACCATTTCCAAAAATAGATTCCCATCTTTCTCTTCTCATGATTTTGTAATAATACCCAAGAAGATGAATGACTGATTTGTTCATAAGCATTTCTGGTTTGATACAAATGTTGCTTCTTTTTTCAATTCTTTCTGGTATACTTGGTATGCAGTCATTTCTGCTTTTGCATGAATTGATTTGGAAAATTGCTCATAGATATTTCCTGCATCACTTGCGAGCCAATTTTAATAATTGATACAGTTGTCTGCAGAGGTTTGAATTTTCTTCTTGCACCTTGATATAAATTGCAAGAACCAATCCTGAATCCCTCTTTGTTCTTCAATATAATCATAGTCTGATGTGACACTACCAAAAACTTTCAATATTTGGTAATTTGCAATCCACAGGAGCTCACTGAACTTCCTTAATCTCATTTTTGCTATATAAAGTTCACAATCTCTTTTTTGTGATTTTTTACCTCCACTCAGTTTATTCTGAAGGTATCCACTCATTAACGCTCTCATGTTGAGTTTTGCATTTGACTTGAATTCATCAGCCATTGACCCTTCCAAGTGACTGAATATAATTGAAATCCAAGCCCAAAACTTGGGTTTCACCTGTAGATTGCTAGTTCTGATTGGAAATATTTCTCTGTTTTCTGGAATGATCTGGGTTGGATTGATATTAATGTTGGCATCTTTGGATTTATCCTGTCTTCTTGTTTCAAAACCCATAAAAATATTTTGGGAGTGATTACTTGATGAATCAAGTGCTTTACCATCTTCTACATGACTTTGCAATGGCTCATAGGATTTAAATCCCATACCTTTGGTTTTTATCAGAGGTATCAAGCTTTGTGCTTGGCTAGACGTTTCTAACCCATGATACACACCCCTTGAAATTGTGTGGATTGGCTGAAATGAACCTGTATGAAATCAATAGACAAATGAGTTAATTTGGTATTTAGTCCATGATGATTCCTTTCAATGGAAATGCTCATTCTTGAATTGAATGCATTGAAAAACTGTTGCAGTTGGACTCACCCCCAGAATGCCTCTTTTGTGATGGGGAACTTGATGAACCCGGTACAAGGCTAGTTGCGTCTTGGCCTTGAGCGGGGAGACTCAAAGATAAATCAAGATCCAACTTTTGCCGTTTCGGAGAAGATTGATAAATCTCTTGATCTTCATTCTTGGGGGTAGGTTGGACCAGGGCTGATGGGTTGCATCTGTCTTCCCTACTTCCATCCACGCCGTGACCATCTTTAGATAACATTCAGAAAAAGACCTGGGTGAGACTTTCATTTGTATTCTAAGATGTACGACCGGTATTGCGACCTGGAAAGCAGCTGCTCGGACTTACCGATTGGACTTGATGTTTTCAGCCCGTCCTTCTGTCCTGTTATTCGGAGCAAGAGTGTATCATGTCCTGGTCGCTTCATAGTCAGTGCGGCTTGAGATAATGACGGATGATATGTCTGAATGATTTTACCTTCCTCAGCTCCCAAGCTCGAAAATAGATCTGGAAAGAGATCTAAACTCTGTCTCATCATTGCTGAGAGGAAGTAACCTTGAAGCAAGGCTACGAGCCCAAATTTCCAAAAATGCTGCATATTTCCAATGCTCAGAGTCAAATTTCTGCAACCGAAGTGGGGGAGGGGAGGAACTTCAAACCTAGCGGCCCAATTTTCACCACAAAATCTCACTGAAGATCCCAACCGTTTGCGTCTAACCTATCCCGCAGGCCAACAGAGCCTGAGGGAGTGATGTAGCTTTTTATTGTTTCACAATTGATACTTGTGATAAACCCATTTCTGCCGTTACAAATGGTAAAATATCTGCAAAAAAAGTTTAAAAATGATGTTACAAGAGCGTATGAAAAGAGCTTGTGCTTGATAACCCAATTTCCAGTTGCAGGTGAAAGCTGGTGAAAGTGGATCTTGCTCAGAAATGAAAGTACAAAAATCTACCTAAATATGTGAATATTATGAAGTTTGCAACTTGGAGACAGAAGAAAATATTTTTGTCCAAGGAATATTTATAAAAAAGTACAACCCTCCGCCAGCTTGGGGTTTTTGGTCGAGCAAATTTGAATCAAAGCGGGAAAAAGGAAATGATCTTTAGATAAATTCTGAGCGGATGATAGTGCCAAATGGAAGGTATGATCGAGAGTGAAAATAAGGAGATCAAGGACTGCGAGAAATCGATAGATAGCTGCTAGGGGGATGTTTTGGAAAAACTCAGGATGCTGAGACGTCCTTGGCAAAGCTGGACGGGTTGCAGATATCTAAGTTCTAACCGTAGGTTTGTCCTCCATCGTCGCCCTCCCGCGATACACCAAAGCCCATATAACGCGAGAATTTTGCCATGTCCTTTACTGGAAGCTCAGCATGCTCCCGGTTATACAGACCATACTGAGGCTTCGGTTTTCCAACCTTAGAATGAAGCGGTCGAGAAGGGCCAGTAGAGCGCATAAGCGAGGCGGCCAGATCAAGGGAACGAAGCACTCGAGCTAGTACATAATTGGACAAGTGTTAATGACTGACACACGCATCTTCTCACTTCACCTTCTCTGTACATCTCCTGACGAAAATTTCGAAAAGTGTTCGAACGCAGAAAGATTTGGAACCTGAATTGAATGGGAGTGAGCTTACCATTGCCAGGTGAGAAACAAGCCAAGATACAAACGAAGAAAAAGATCGAAATCGACTTCATTCCTCACGTCGCGCTTTCTTTCTTGGAATTGAGGTCGTGTTTTCTTGCAGGTGTGGTCGCTTTGCCTTGGGTAATGTACTCCAATCCTCATGGGCGCTTGAATTTCCCTTTGAGTCTTTTTATTTTCGCTTTTTGAGTTGGTAAATTATGTGGTGTTAATAATTATTAAATATGTTCTTCTGTGTAGATGAAGAACAACCAGGATTAACTACTCCAAAAAACAAGACTGAGTTTCTTGAGCTGACGGAACTGACAAGTGTTTAAGCGAGAAACAAGGCCCAGCGATAAGGTCAAGATAAACAACACAGCACTTCAAAGAAAGTCCAAGAAGGAGAAACCATCACCACACGCCGCAGCTGTATGTCCACAATATCGAAAAGCCCTTGTCATGCGTCGTTCATCAATTGACGCGGTAGCGGCGTTCATCAATCGATTGACGCGGTAGTGGCGTTCATCAATTGACGCGGTAGATCAGATTGTGTAGCCATGATCTGTGTTTTCTAACAACTGTTACAATCAAGTGGAGGTATCCCGGCTTCAACGCCACCTGATCACACATTTTCGCGGCCGCCTCCCAACTTCCAAGTGCGTATGTAGACTACTATCTTCAGATTTTCTTGCGAGCGCTCCGCGCCGGAGACAATCACAAGAGATCAAAATACCCACATCTTGGTTGGTGTTCAGCGGCGGAAAAGACATTACATAGAATAACAAGAAGCCCCTCGGTGCGTCTATTGGTCCATCCGGGACGGCCCCTCCCCTCTGTTTGAGAGGGTTAAGTTGTGTTGTGTGAGAACGTCAGCGTGACCAAGGCAACACTTACTGAAGCGCAACTGTGAGCCAGCAACCAGAACCCAAACTATTACTTCGTGATGTAGCTGTAATTTAGCGTATTTCTGTATCACTACATTACAGCTACAAGTTAGCTCTACCTGAGTTGCAATTGCAGCTACAGGAGATTTGAAAGAAAAGTGTACTTTTCGCTAAAAAAATTTACGGCTAATTAGCTGTAGGGCCCAAGTAAATCGACTATCAAATTTTGGGGGTCGTCGGGAGGACCGCCTGAGGACCATCCGAGGACGTCCCCAGCCCTGAAAACCCGGTCCCCCCCCCCCCCCCAACCGGCCGGGAGTCAGGACTAGGGACAGGAAGTCAGTGGGACCTCGGCTGCTCATGTTTTACTGACATATCTCATTCAAATCATGATGATATTAGCTATGTCAAGATAACGGAAGAAACCATATAGGTTGGTATTTTGATGTGTATGACAACTCATTTAGACTTGCAACTGCTGGGGTAAAAATGGTATTTATGGCTGACAGATCCGCTCAAAAGCAAGGTGAATCGTGATAAAGGAGGTGTCAACAAGGGCTGCTTATTAGATTTCTATTTTTACTTCGGAGGAGGACTGGTAAAGGAGATGTTAGAGCAGAGATATAGCAATCTGGCGGGATAAATCTAAATGACTACTTTGCGTCGTTTCTGGGTATTTCCGATCATTCCCCGAATCTCATCTACTGGCTTGAGGTCGGTATCATCATAGAACCGCTTTCCTTGATGCTCGATTTCTAGAGTCTGGTTCAAGAACTTGATCGCCTCTACATTATAGCCAACCATCTCTCTTTGTTTGGTTAAGCGGTTCGACAGCTTCTTCTGGATCGAGTTGATCGAGGTTTTCAAGCTATTGGTCGCAGTGATCTGTGATTCGTGCGTCCGTAGTATGAAGAACAGAATCCGACAAACTAGAGGGATAGACCAACCCTGGATGTATTCAAACAAAACCTCGCAAGATCAGTTCTGAGTTCGAGTTCAACATGATAAGAGGATAGAAATAATGTTAACCTTCATGATCCAATTGTCTATATGCGTGAGAAGCATTGTCACTTGAGCAAAAGGTAAGACTAGTAGTGCGTCTTCGAGTGCCGGTCGTGGCACTCTCTCCACTACTTTCAGTACATACGCATGGGCAGAAATGTTGTTGAACGCCGCGAAAATGGGGCTTCGAGCCGGAGGGGCCAACTTTTTGGCCATTGCTTGATCTTTCATGGAGGCTATGGTTGCTTGGTAATTTGCGAACGCATCCAAATCTTCCGCTGCAAGATTAAGCGCCTCGATTATTTTCTCACCCGACATCTGGGTCTCGGCTGTCTGCTTCAATACCGCACCGGCTTCTTCAACTTCGCCTTCCTTTCCACTTTCCTTCAGCTTCTGTTGTCGCATTGCCATCAGATCAGCCTGCTCGTTTTCTTCCTGGTTATACAACCTCTCTAGCTCTTTTTCGCGTTCTTCTTCGAGAAAGAGCGGCTCGTCCGTCTTTTCCCAAACTCGAATCGATTTATCAAACGAGCCCGTCACAAGGAATTTGGCGTTGTGACTGACTGCAAGCGAAGAAACTTCCTTATGGTGACCACTGAGGGTTTGAATGTTTTCGAACTAAAGACCGACAAGTTCATACAAAACACGGTTGATCAATATTTCTAATCGAAGGCACAAAATAAAACTGCTTCCAGCTGAAGTCGTAAAGTAGCCACTTACCTTGTCACCATCCCAATACTTCACCAGTTTATCCCGGCCTACGGTCCAAAAGTAGTGTGAACCACTCTCGAACGCTACACGCATGACACTTTCTTCATGAGCGAAAATTGACTTATGGCAATCTCCGAAATCGAGACCCCAAATCTTGACATTTTTGTCGGCCGAGCAGGTGACTACGAGTTTCGAATCAAACGAAATATCCATGTCTAATACCGGAAGCTAAGATCCAGCAACATATTCTTAGTATGGCATGTAATTGAATACGAAACTTAACAGGACGCACTTTGTGCCCATATAGGGATAGGAAGAATTTCAGACTGTCTTGAAAAAAGATCTTGACAGTAGCATCCAAAGTTGACACGGCCAAGAACTTGAAATCTGGGCTATATCGAACACCAAGTACATCATCCGACATCTTCATCGTTTTGGAATGTGACATTGAGAGGGATAGTGTTTTTTGGTTGAACGAATCCGTCTCTGAAGTGGTTGGGTCGATAAGGGTCTTTTTGGTTGCAAAGTTCCAGAACTTGACACATTTGTCGGCACCACCCGTGACGAAGCCTTTTCCATCTGGTCGAAGATCAATGGACCAAATTGCGCCTGTATGTGCATCGCAAGTCTGTAGCAGAGCACATGAACTGAGCTCATAGAGCATCAACTGACCACCCTTTGTCCCCACCAAAACCTGTCATGTGACCAGTCAACGTGTAGCCAAGTCAGCTGACTACATCGGAAACTCGAGTGGCAATGAGCGAGCTTACATGCTTGTTACCAGGAAGCCAAGTACTACAAAGAGCATATCCACATTCCATGGTGCGGATACATTTTTGAGTTTTCAAATTCCAAACTTTCAACGAACCATTGCTTCCGCTGGCTAGGAGCTGGTCATCAAAGGACAAACTGACAGTCCGGACGTCAGTCCTGTGACCTGGCATGGCGACTTTGTACAAATTTTCAGCCTCCAGAGATGCCCATTTGGCAGAAGTAGTTGGCCTGGGAATCGACATTATTTCGACGGAATTGTTGGACAGAGCAAGAAGTATTTGCAATTCTGTAGGTCGATCCGCGGAAGCAAATAATGCAAGATTCGATGTCGGGGGGAAAGCAAAGGAAGAAATTTTTCCGGATCCTCGTAACATGATCCAGGGACACAGGCGGTCTAACCAAGTTACTGATTGTTCTGCTTCAGCTACGTCTTTCTTTTCGTCCGATTTCCGACTCTTGGATGCTTCTTTCTTTTTGCGACGGGCCTGTTTCTTCTTGACTTCTTCGACACTGCGAATTCGCCAAACTTCGACTGACCGATCACCAACTTGAAAAGCTATGGCAATCCCACTTATTCCTCCTCTTAGAGTGTAATGATGAGCGATAGCGCCTGAGACACGTTTTCCATGCGCGCCTGAGGTGTTTAGAGCTAAATTTCCGACGTGAACGATCGCTCGCCTGAAACCTTGACCGTCGCTAGCTCGTTGAGGACCATTGATGAGAATGGTTGATGATAATGTCCAGAGCTTGGCTTCACCGTCTCCTCCGGTTGTTATCAATAGAAACATAGCGTCTTCTTCACTATCATCCGGATCTTGACCATCGCTTCGAATGGATGGTGGAATAACTGTCACAGACCAGCTTTCAGTGCGATGAGCGACTACGGATTCGACAGTATGTTGGGTTTGGAGGTCCCACAGCTTGAGATATGTATCCTGAGAAGTGCTCAGTAAGTGAGTAGAAGGGGGTGGCAGTGCAGTTGAGGATGATGGGTCGGAAACCGGAGTTGAGCCCGAAACAAACACTAATCCAGTGATGCGATTATTGTGCCCTCTCAGTCTATAAAAAAGGTAATTGGGTCAAAGGTGGATTAAGTGTATGGTCGACATTGATTGAGTGAGCACTCTGATAGATACTGACTTGAAAAGACCACTCTCTCCCGCTACATCCCACATGATGACTTCACCATCGACAGCCCCACTGGCCAAACGAGCCCCATCTTTGTCCCATTCCAAGCAAGAAATCGCTCTTCGATGGCCTTCGAAAACTGAAGTTTCTGTTTTAGATTGAGATGACCAAATTCGGACGGAGCCATCTTGATATCCGACCGCAAACTTGTCAGGGTCAGAAGGAGAGCGGGCGATGGATGTGACTGGATGATAATGGCCAGTGGCATGCCACATTCCTGTCTTGAATCACAATTCCAATTTGAGCGATGTGAAAGAATTACGTCAATTGAGAATGGATCGACTAACTAGTTCCCCTCTTTTGACATCCCAAACATAAACATCTTCCAAGGCGGGGACAAATGCTCTCTTGCCGTCAAAGAGTGCGTTGGACGTGTTGGACGCGATGAGTCCAAAAACTTCTGTGCCACCGTGGAGAAAGTATCTTTGAAAAGGACGAGATGAGCACTCTGTGTATTCTTTGTGAAAACAATGAGAGGATTACTCACGACTTGACCATGTTTACTCGAGTCTGATGTGGATGTTGGACGGAGAAATAGGGTGACCACTTGCAGTGCCGCGGCAGTCATGCGCCCAGGATTTTTTTGGAGCACTTTGGATATGCATATCCATGCACACAGATGTATATGCATGACTGCGCTTATGCATACAAAACTTCCAACTCGGCACTCCTCGCAGTCCGCCGGGCCCTGGGATCCCTCTTTGCAAGCGGCGGCTCGGCGCTGAGCCGATGAGAAATGCCGGCTAGGAACGCCCGGCTGTCAATGGACGACTTCCCGCCGGTCTTTCAGGTTCAGTAAAGCTGGAAGAATAGGCTGCAAAGCTGAATTCGAGCTGGAAAAACAGCTTGACAGCCTGTAAAAATAGCTTTACAGGGCCCAGGGGGCTGTAAAATCGAAGGGAAGTCCTTCAAGTTTGTCCATGTAAGGCGTTTTGTCTGAGCTGATACGGTGCTCAACATGCTTCTTGACTCTTCGCTCTCCTATCACTATGTAAACCCTGAAAATTCAAACAGTGCAATGCGTGCAACTCCGAACCTATATAGTTCGCCCTCGATTCCGTTTCTCCGACGATCTGGCCTCATTGAAGCATTAGAATATGTAGCACTGTTTGATGCTCCTCAGAAACCACCTTACGACGAGGGCTCGGACAGATTGTCGCACCGATTCCACACCGCGCGGAGCTGGGTGGACTTAATGCCACCGAGCCGGACTTGTCAGGGTTACCGCGTACGACGTTGCCGTTACCTTTTCAGGGACATGTCGTTAAAAACAATGTGTGCTATTTTCTTCAAAAATACTTGAGTAATCCTGGGAGATATATTCAGAACTTGATTCAAGCCTCACCGCAGATGACCCGGCGTCGGGTTCTAGGTGCATCAGGTTTGAGGATAACATATTTACCCATTAGGAGGCACATTCCTGCACGTGAGAAGAACTGAATTTTGCGCAAGTTCTTTAGGTGAGGGAGTTTGAGGGATGTCCATTGATCTCCATTATAATCGAGTCGACAATTTTTTTGAAACGCAGAACTTGAACCGTAGTGCAGCATGAAGTAAGACATGATCCCTCTCGTACTCTTGGCATCCACGTATTTCTAGTTAGCGACTCTTTGCGACGTGGTAATTAGATGAGCATGTTGTATCCTGTGTATGATGACCATGTCATGCCCATACGATAGTAAATCAACAGCTAATGGCATATAAAAGCACAGTCAATTTAGCAAGAAGAAATATGCACGCTTAACCCGAACTTCAGATACATGCACCAGAACTTGCTCTGAGAACAGAAAAATCACCGGCTTGTTTTTAACACCCATGGCAACTCACAGGGGCCTTCTGATAATTAGTGCAATTTGTGGGATCCTCTTGGATGGTTTGGTTTCTGGCTATCCTTCCCTCGCAACTACCAGTCCCGCCCACCTAAGTGTCTCTGAAAACTCCGCCAGAATCACTTCTGACAGGGCTCGACCTATAAGCCTCGCTAGATTTTCTACAAAAGGTAGTGGAACTAGACCAGTATTGGATAGCTTTGCCACATCAGATGCACAAGGCATAGACTCAAATCTGGGACAAATACTAGCAAGAAAGACGTTTTCAGACGCTCCACACTCATCCGACCCCGTATGGCTGACCGTAGTGATGGACTTTCCAGAGAACCATGGAAACGTCAAAGATGTGGTACGCGTACCCCTACAGAAACTTCCGGTAGACAAGAGAAGACCGGGTTTACCATCTGAAAGGTTATCGGAGCCAAATCAGAGGTTAAAAACTTCTATTCCTACCAAGTCTGTTGGCAGTTCAACTCCGAAAAAAAATGTAAGATTTTGAGGTCTATAACTTTATTGCAGCAATGAATTTCTAAAGCTAGTAGTAGTTAACACTATAATCAAAGAATTCAAGAAAAAGAGGAATAGAAATAAATGTTGAGAATCAATGAAAGTACATAGATAAAAGAGTGCAAAATATGTACCTTCTTATGTGTCAGATCCTTACTTAACCCAAAAGAGATTCTTATTTGAAGATTATAAAAAAGGAGATAAAAAGTAAAGAACAATCAAGCCTGAAATAATGAAAATGAGTCAATAATTGTTTTAAACAAGAAAAGAAGTAAGAAGAAACAATGAAGTGAAGAAAATAGGGAAAGACATGAATAGAAAAGAGAAATGAGGTAGTGTACCTCCACTTGAGTCTAAACCAGGCTCCTCCTGAATCTTGTGAATCTAGATCGAGAGTTGTGTTTCGGAATCCGGACTTGCAAACTAGGACGTTGGTTGAAAGTTGATTAAGGGCGTAATCGTGTTCGACGGAGTAGGGTGCAAAAAACTTGGACACTGATGAAAATCTCCTCCGTCGGCCTCGAACTTGAAGATGTGAAAAATTGACTTTGCTGCGGCCAAGTCATTCATACTGAATATTCATCTTTGCAGTTAGAAATATTTTACAACAAAAAATCAAGGAAGCAAGCCTGAAGGTGAACTTAGAGAACCTGAAAAACTGGAAGAGTCAAATCAATCCCAGGAAAATTATCCCTCACCTGAATATCCCCGGCCACTAGGTATCTCAGAAGAACGGTTGAAGTATTGGGACCTGATGATTGGGGGCCAGCTGAGTGACCCTAAAGTATTGGCAAAATTCAATGAACAACTTGAAAAGTCTTCATCTGAAATATTGGAGAGGGAGATTGGGCATGATAATCAGTTATCCCCAATCCTACGTGGTGAGCATATCATACTCCAGCTTGACTACTAGGGTGATTATCAATCATGACGATTCCTGATGCCTGAAAATCGCATTCTTGGAAACATAACAACAAATCATCAGAGTCACGCGTCAAGGAATTCCTACCACGCCTTATCAAGATCTTTCTTTACCGTCGCGGGATAGACTTCAAGAATCGAGAAAACGAACAAGTGCCATACTCTTTGGACTGGTTGGACAAATTTCGAACATACGCAGAAACGCCCTATGGCATAAAAACCCCTCCTGGCGAGGAAGGTATTAATTCTGAAGCGACTATGCGTCGAAGGATAACTGGCGCCCTATACAATCATTTCAAAAAGACGATACGCGGTTTGGGTCTTAGTGAACTCGAGCTTTCGCCTAAGTTCGAAGAAAAACACAATGCACTTTTGGGGAACCAGTTGGACCGAAATAGAAAATTCCTGCGAGCATTCCATTTCGAATACAGCCATGCGGATGATAATCAGCTGCAAATCCTACGTGCAATTCTCTTGGACCTAAATTCAGAATTGGAAAGATTGGTTAATCAGATCCATGATGGACCCCACCGTAAGTGCATGCAACGTCATTATTTCTTTTCATCCTTACACTCAGATACAGACTTACAGTTTCTTGCTGACCAATTCAAATCAAGGGGTTTCCATTGATTTTCCTAGTCACATCAACTCAGGTCAGTAGTATCCTAAAACACTCGTCTTGGGTCCAGAATGCGAAAAGACCTTGTTACAGACCAACATTAAAAGACTCGTGTTGTGGAGTAAGATCTAATCCGATTTATTCCTTTCATCTTTAGTCTCTTGCACGGAGCTCGACTTTGCGCTCCGGCGGATATTTTTTCTTTCAAAAAATTGGCCTCATGGGAACCCTTCGCGGAAAAAGAAGATTGAAGATTCATCTGGACTGAAAAACCTGAGGTTGCGATACAAGAGAATTGATGGTTTCCTCCAGCTTATCGATAAAGCACGCGGCTTATCAACGGCCGACGAGGATCTTCGGGTCACTGCATCCCGACTGGCTGATTTCCGCAATCAAATATTGAAAGATTTCTCGAAAATCTCTTCGAAAGCCGTTCCAGAGGGAACAACCTCGGTTTGGTTACCTCGCAATGAGCTAGATGAACTTTTGAATGGTCTTCAGGAGTTGAATGTGGATAGAATTTACTCGATGGATCTATCTGACTATCAGATGAAATGGCTCGGCCTCCCTCCAAACAATCCCACAAGCATCGATGACGGTTCGAGGATTGTTGGAGCAGTGAGTGAAAAAACAGATCCCAAAGTATATAAGGGCCATGTACATTTCGACCCAAAGAAGTTTCATCCGGAACTTCTCAAACAGTTGGAAGCAAAAATTTAAAGAATAACAAGCCCAGCACTCACTCCGGCGGAGAGTCATTTAAAGAATATGCCTACATTATCATAGACTGGATTTCCCCTGAAAATTTACCGGTACTGTGCAGTCCACAGTTCACCTCCCTGTTTTGATTGAGTTGGTCCCCTCAATTCACTCTTGACGTGAAGACAACAATCTAATTTGCTTTTTTTATCATGTTAATTATTTCAAGTGGCGTTTTGAATGGTTCACTTTTTTCTTTTTTGTCTCTCCTAGTGGTATACCTAAGCTTGGCCTTTGCTTGGTTTCTTTTCCATTCTTTCATTATCATGTAGTTTTTCTTTGAGCACGTGGTTTATCATTTTGCTCAATTTGAGTATTTGCTTTTAACCCCGTGCATCTTCAAGAGAAATCTATCGAAAGCAGTTCAAAGAATTATTTCATTAATTTTCAGCTAAGGAAGGAAAGTAAAAAAAACTGAATGTGATATCAGGAAGAGTTTTCCACTTTTTGTCGAACCCCGATGGCCAGGTCGACCTGAGGATGTCTGGTTTATGTTTGTGCTTTTCAAACCCACCGCTGGCACCAGTTTTAAAGCCCATGCACTCCTGATAACAGTCTCCAGATATGTGAAGTGTTTGTATTGATCTGTTGTTTCCAACACAACAAAATTGTTGGTCTGGACAGTAGGGATCCCTGGCCGACTGTATGGCAGCTTTGATTCTTTCTTGTTTGTTTTGAGAAACATTTGCATTGGACATGATCCCAAGAGATGCGAATCCCAGAGGTCTATTCGATGACTAAACCGGGACATTTCCTTGTCGCCGTCTGACTCCAGTGCGCCAACCTGAGCGAATATGTTTGGATCTTGAGCTGATTTGCCAATTGATGGATCTGGTTCAGAGCAGTACATCCGGCCAGTCTCACTATGTGCCAGAATTGTTGTCTGTATGATAGATCTGGAGCTGGAAACCAAACGATATCCGTGAGACTAGCCAGCTGGTTGAAAGCGTTCGCGATGGAGAAGAACTGGCTCTCAGTCCAAGTCCTGGTCGGTTGTTGAGCAATACCAATCTCTCGATGCTCTCAGCCTCAATGATTCGACCCAAGTCCATCGCCCTACGCTATAAAACACTCGCCTAGGATTCACATTCCTGCCTTCCCCATCCCTTTACCCATATCGCACGGCCGTAAAATTCAAAGACTTCCCTCCTTGACCACAATATCAAATCTTCGACTTTCCTTAATTCCCAAACATCAAACTTGTATAAACTATCAACATCATTCGATTAGTCTACTAGGCCTGAATATCATTCACACAGCTGTGACAATCACTATCCCCAACATGCAATTCACTTTCGGATTAATCTCAGTTGTGGCGACTATCCTCAGCAATACGGCGGTGACAGCTGTACCTACCTTTGGATTTGGCCATGGAGGCGTAAGTTTGATTTGAAGACTATTGAAATCCCATTTGTGTTGTTTTCGTTGTTTTGGATTCACGTAACGCTAACACGGCATCTCATTTTTCAATAGGGATTTGGAGGATACGGTGGGGGGTATGGTGGCGGGTACGGCGGTGCATATAGAGGATTGGGTGGGGGGTATGGAGGAGGGTATGGAGGCGGGTACGGAGGAGTTTATGGTGGAGGTTATGGTGGAGGCTATGGTGGAGGCTATGGTGGAGGCTATGGTGGAGGCTACGGTGGAGGCTACGGTGGAGGTTATGGAGGAGGGTACGGCGGAGGTGGTGGAGGACTAGGCCTAGGGGTACGTGTGTTGAGCTAAGATATTCTGCTTGTTCGAAGTGGTTACTCATTCTATTTCCTGAACGGCGCTTCCGGAATTTCAGATCGGCATTGGTCTAGGCGTCGGTATTGGCATCTAAACAATTTAGCCTTCAAGTCAGCATTCGGGCATGGACGAGTAAGTCAATTTCTGAGACAACTCCGAATTCATTCACGCTCGTTCTCAAGATTTAGCTTGCATCCTGAATCTGTCTGCTATTTCTTTCTACAGTTAGGCAAAAGCAGATGGTAACCCATTTGCCACATCAAGGATGATCTAGCTAGAATTTGCACTCCACGTAGCGCCTTGTCCAAGTCACCTTCTTAGTTTCTGGATACCTTCGAATTGCATTGGTTTCCTTCAATTTTTCCAGGATAACCTCCAGGATAGGGACATGTATATTTTCTTCATTGGGTTTATTGATCTACTTTTGTAATATTATGACAGATGTATCGGACTTCGGTGGTGTTGCGGTCAAAAAACCAGACCAATAACCAAATTTCTGGGGAAATTTTCATAAATCAAGGGTTTTTTTGGTCAAGTATTTATGCCTCAATGGTTGCTTTCTTCCACTCAACTCAGGGTGAGGGATTGTCATGCCTTCTAGAAAGTGTCGGTCGATGAAAGGTGCCTCGCACGTACCATGTAACGCTTGCGTCCAATTGATGTGCTCACAACGAGTTCACATCATGATCACTTTCTTGCTTTCGGAGCACAGCTTGATAACATGTGGAGGGAGCACACTAGAATATCAGCTAATATCAGATTCTGGTCTACATGGAAGCTATGTAAACTGATCCGATGTTTATCATTGAAGCCAAGTGGCATTCTCTCCTAGCGTATCGATTGCACTTTGTGTAAAATCGCGAATCGCTTCCGCCAGACGGTTTCCCCAGCCCGGCCTGAGAGACTCTTGCTCCACATTGGGGCGGGCACTAAACCTTGTAAGAATGACCCAACAATCACGAAGTTTGTTTGGGGTCGTTTGCCAACATTCCACATATAAATAAATATTATGTAGATTTTCACCACAAATCTTTGTACAGGATACCAGACCGTCCACCCGTACGACCTTCAAGGAGTGCGCTGGACTGGAGCAAGTCGGCTGAGACCGAGAGTGATGTTCACGTCGGATAGTCTGATGGCGAAACATAAGTACATAAATATATAAGCCGTAGCACCTCACCGCTCGAGTTGATGAATGCTATTTATTTTCGTCGGTCATACCTTCTTCCACATCTGCGCATCACCATACGTCGCCTGCTCCAGCCTGTGAGAAGAGCTGCTTGAAGCCCACCAAGCTTCCCGCCAGCTTTCCAACGATTTCACCGGCCAAACTCCTAGCCTCTGAGTCAGCCGCACATATCACCAGGTGTATCAAGACAAAACGTTGCAGAAGAGAAGAAGAGGATATCCAGTCCTATGGCGTCACAGATGCAACCGAACATTAAACTACTTGTGCTCAAGTTGAGTGCCGAGCGTTTTCTTCTGCTCGGCGATTTTCTCGGTATCAACTAAAGAGTTTGATTTTAGACAAGGTATTTCGACTTCAGACGAACTCGGTTCATTCCAAACGTCTTTTAATCCTCTCCAACAGGAACAACCCTTCTCCACTGGACCTTGGTTGATCGACCCGACGCCAGAAGAAGAACTGTTCCTTAGGCGGAACAAACTCGAATCAGTTACCTTTCTTCTTCGAATTAAGCCACTTACATTCGATTCAAACGTGGAAAATCTCCGGGTTGCGTGCTGTCATGTTGCGACCAAATTCCCTTCACCAAGGATACTGGCACGCCATTTAGCAGAATCAATCGTGGTTCATGAGTTGAGTATCATGGCTCTCTCTCAGACAGCTAGCCGTCAATAGATTATTGACCCAAATATCATAAAAACGGGAATAGCATGAACGTTAGATTCAGGTGTAGCGAGAAACTCATGAAGACCCACGTCACTCCGATAGACCACCAAACCCATGGTGAACTTTTCAAAGTGGTCATCCGCCTGAGTCAGTCGGAATGTATCGTAAACTGGACTATTTTTAGGCAAGCCATTAACGTTTGTCAACACTGCCAGTGGCCACAAAATCAGCTAATTCACTTCACATTCAGGCAAGTTGTTTTGCCGACAATGATCTCCAGCACTGGAATGCGCTCATGCTCTTTCAAATCCTCACCACAATGCTGTCTGGTCAATTGAAAATTCGTCGATTTCCTGATCAATTTCTTTCTGGTTTATTTTTCTATACTTTTCGGCTCTTCGGTCACTCCCTATCTTTCATCTTTAAACTACTCAAGCCAAATCAAGATTACAGTGTTGTGTCACATTAATATACTTTCCATGGTCATTGGAAAAAACATCTTAGGTGCTCTACATATTGACCGCAAGCGCAACAATTCACAATACGGGTTTACACGCCGTAGTTTGCAAAACTTTATGGACTTATTTTCCTTGTTCACATGTAACATGCGGACTTACCAATCACCTTTTGGACCGTGTTGATACATCTGTACCTTTCAATAATATGTGGGAAATACTTCTGGAACTAAATTACTTGAAAGAAACTAAAATGCATAATATTCGAGCATTTTTAGGTGCCCAATTTCCATGTTTTCGTCTATAGACCCTAATCAAATCCATTTAATTTGCACAAAGTTTTTTAGCAGACAAATTCTAAAAGGTTTTTAATAAGATTAATGAATCATGAGCATTTTTTAGGTGCCCAATTTCCATGTTTTGGGCTATAGACCCTAATCAAATCCATTTAATTTGCACAAAGTTTTTCAGCAGACAAATTCTAAAAGGTTTTTAATAAGATTAATGAATCGCAAGTGTTGGCTCAGGAATAGTCCTAAGCCAAAATGATGGTTTTACTACTTGGTCTAACTCTAAGTGTGAGGTCAAACAGACTAAGCAAACAAAGAACAAGCTGTGGGACTAGATAATTCAAGATAGGCAGAAGAGAAAAATATTGACACTTAGAAACATCAAGTGAAATACGATACAAATGAATAAAAAAGAGAAGGGGATCAAGAACAAGTAAGATTCCAACAATAAGGAATGTTAAGCTTGATTTTGATCCCTGCTTAACAAAGAAAAGTACCCTGTGTTTCACTGTCTTTCAAAAGACTTCTCCCAAACAAAGTTGTACAAATTATTTGTACCCCAATAATTTCTGGTTCTTTAGCAATTTGGTCTTTCTCTTTTTTTCTTCTGACTTACAGTCAAAATAAGTTTGCTATCCTTGATACAACAAGGGGAATCAAATACAAGAAATTCACCATTAGAAACCAGTTACTTTTCCAAAGATGATATTATGAACTGATGGGACACAAAAGGGGTTAAATGAAGAACCAACATGTTGAAAATTTGTTGATTTGGTTGTTGAATTTTCCTCAATCTCTCTCTCTGCTAGAGATCGTTCGTCGGTACCCGTTGCTAGGTACCTAGTACCGCTCGGCGGGTACCGCCCGCACCCGCCTCGCACCCGCCAGGCGGTGCCGGGTGCGGTGCCGGGTGCCGGTTTTTTGGCAAAAAAAGGGGAGGTACCCGGGTACCGCCCCCATGAGTCTTGACTGGAAGGGTTTCCTTCCGATCGATGAGGTAGAT